TCACCACCTTGAGATCGACAATCTCTCTCTCGGTCGCTTCGCAACGGGATTCCAATTCCTTCACAGTCATCCTTACGTCTTCTTCTTCTTCTTCTTCCCAGGTATCGATTTGCTCTGATATCAATTTGTGAGGATTAGCCTCACTTTTGGTATTAAAACGTAGAATCAAATGCCCGTGGGCAGTACAAAGCTGACCCACCTATTCGAGAGGGTGGGTATTCTCTCCCTAACCTTTTCACAGCACTCAAAACTAGGATGATCTCCTCCTACCTTTTCCTACCCTTTTCTACTCCACGTTGCCCTATTACACGATTTAGGTCCCACCAGCTATGGGTCCCACTACCCCAAACCGTTAGCCTCTTTATTCCCCCATCATTCTATTGTACCTAGTACAATTCCCTTTCTACCCTTCCTATGATAAGTCTTCACAATGGGAGGCCTAACATATAATCTTGCAAAGGTAACGAAATGGGCACACACCAGCAGCAGGGAAAACCAATATTTCAAAGGCCAAAACAATATTGACAAGCCAGGCAAAAGGATTCCAAGGGCAGTTACTCCTTAACTGAAAATAGTAGCAACGTTTTCTAATACACAAAGATCACTAAAGCTTAAAGGAACAAAGGTTATATGCTAGCTGTTTAAGTTAGTACTTGAAACAACAATTTGAAAAGCTGAGAGACCCCGATAAAAGATAATTGAAGAAAATTATGATTGAAAATAAACTTATAGATCAAATTAATTGAACCAGTTGTTCTTATTTAAGCAATCCTTCCTAATGACAGAAAAGCCTCTTCCCTTTCTCTGGAATCATGACTGTAGAACTACTTCCCGAATAATGACACAAACGGAAACTGTAAGCCTAATCCTGTAGCAGGCATAGAACATTCTTGACATGAAAATCACAATGAGGCAAGACTGAACAGGTTGCAGTAGTATTTGATCATCAGGAGAAGAAGAATGACATATATACAAAACATTAATGGTGCAGAAAGACCAAATAGTTTTTCCTCGACAGTCAACACCAGCATGGAACTTCCTAGTCACAGAGTTAGTAATAAGCAAGCTCAATCTCAACAGCGAACACATCCAGAAAGCAACAAAACTTAAGAAACTGAATTGATCCACCTGTCTGAGAAACTCATCATGCCAATTGTCAAGTGTGTCGAACGACTTCATCACGTTAACATCATAGACTAGAACACAGCAATCTGCCCCTCTATAGAAAGCAACTCCAAGACTTTGAAATCTCTCTTGTCCGGCTGTGTCCCATATCTAGCAATACAAATATTAAAGATTTATCATAAACATGGGCATAAAATAGTTTCAAAGTCAACACAATCTACACAACAGGGAAATGCCAATGATTTCTTGAAGTAGAAACGCACTTGAAGTGTGACAAGCCTGTCATCAATTTGAAGTTCCTTGGTGACGAAATCAGCACCAATTGTAGCTTTGTATTGCTGACTGAATTTCTTATGCACGTATCTGATTAGCTAGTTAATGACCCATATTCATATTTAACAGTAACGATTACTCAACATCCCTTTCTAATTGGTCAACATAATCTCAATAACGAATTTAGAAATAAAAGGTTAAACAATGTTAAATCTAAAATTTGGAAAAAAAAGGGATGAAAAGAAAAGAGAATGTCGCTCTGGGTTTTAAAAAAAAGGACATATTATTCAAAGATCACTCACCAAGTCGACGATCCAACAAAACAACAGAAGAAGATTAGTCTCATTATTCCACAGAATTAAAGCAAGGGCCAAGGGGCATACCAATTAGGAAACGGATGGGGCACAAACGGACAAAATAAGAGAAACGAAACGTAAATTCTAAGATCGAATATAAATGCCCCAAAACGACGCAGATCAATATCAACAACCTAATTTTCTGAAGGATACTGATTCATCAACGACGTCTTGCCAACCCTGAAATCAAAATCAAACAGCATCCAAAATTAACGAAAGAGCACGTAGAAGCAAAACGGAACCCTAGGAGATGATGGCATACCCACTATCACCGAGAACGATGACCTTGAGCAAAGTCCGCCTACGGAACGACATGGCAGCGAAATCAATCAATCAATCAATCAATCAGACGAAAAACCTCGGATTCAAATAGCGTAACTCTGCACCCTTTGAGCTAGTTCCGCAACCTGGGCGATGGGAGATGCAGGACAGGAATCATGCGGTTACCGATTCGAATTTGAGAAATTAAATAGGATTAGATTAGAACAAGGAAAAGAAGAGATAATGGGGATTCTGGATTCGGAATTTGGAATACCTTTTCATCGCGATTAGCAAAGGGAGACGAAGAAGAAGAGGAAATGGGGATTGAATCTTGGGAACATGGGTGGCAGTTGGGAAGAATCCACGGCGCTGTTCGAAAAAAGCACTCTGAAATTCGAAGAACTAAACGACACCTACGTGAGTTTTGATGGGCTCTCCTCCTTTAATCCTTCTCCTCGTGTTCTTTTCTTTTTCAGGATTCCATCCCAAATGACAGGTTTTAGTCCCACAAGGGCCCTTTGTGTTTTTACAAATTTTATATGTCCGACATCTTACCTATTCAAAAAATGAGATGTTTGAAAAATATAGATATCCAAACGATCATTAGATAATCATGTTTGTTTCGTATAAAAATTTTAAAAATATATAATGATGTTTTAGCAAATATTTAAATTACTACCTTTGTTTCGGAGAATTTATATGGAAAATTTTTAAAAAATTATATTCGTATCTAGAAAGTTCTCGCGTAGTTTATACATTTATTTTTATGTCTTTAATAATTTAATATTTTTTTCAATTTAGTTTATATTAAATTTAAATGTTACTTTGTCGAACACATTAATTTATATTAATATGATGTTTTTATTAAATATTTAATATTAACTATTAACCTCAACTTGAACTTGAACTTTTTTTCTCAAAAAAAAAAATTATATGATTGAGGACATTTCTGCGGGTTATATTTTGGGATTATATTTTTAAATTATCAAGTAAAAAAATTTTTAGTGGAATAATATTGGGTTCTTTAGATTTTTTTTATACATAATTTCATTTCTGGTCGGGATCAAGTGCTATATATAGAAAAGAATCGATAATTGCAACTAGCTGCAATTATTGCTTATTTCCTATTGTCTTGATACTTGTCTCAAAATAATTGGATACAACAAAGAAGATAAAGATTGGCCAACAAGACAAGTTCTTGACTAACATCTTATCTCTTTGGAATTTACTTTATAAAAAGTAAAGATAAGCGTGGCCGACAGGGGAACCTTATCTTTAAAAAGTAAGAAAAGAAATAAAGTAAAGCAGAAAATTATTATAAACTGACAAAAGCTTTAAAAAATTAAAAGCTGATATGTCTGTTATTGGATAAGGAGACTTGCTTCAGAAGTTGATGACGTCACCCGATTTCTTCTGACTTGGCGATGATTGCGGATTATGTATATCTTCGTATAGGCTTCTCTGGCGTCTGATTAGGCCGTTCCATCCAGGGTCTTACTCACGGCCTCTCACCTAAACTGCCGAAGGAACACCTTCTATCTTCGACCAAGGTTGCCTGTGAGATATAGAATCCTCTCAACTGAGTCAATCTTTTAGCTAACTGCGCTGCCTTGTAGTCGGTTACTCTACATCAGAAGTGTGCCATCTACTTCATCCATTTTTCTTCCGCAGTTCCTTCACGAAATTAACATACTGGGATAGTGATGATAAGATCGGAATACAATGATCTTATCTAAAAACAAAATTTAAACAAATTAATTTATAGTAATTTACAAAAAGAAAGTTAAAATTAAACACTTGAAAGATCCAGATTCAGAGTCATCAGTAAGGTTGTGAATCTAAATATGGGTCATTGATGTCGTAGCCTTCGAAGGGATTGAAGTCGTCTTCGTCGTCTGCAACATAGTTATTGACAGAGGCGGAGGAATTGGCATTCACCTGAACGTCGTCTAGATCAGAGATCTGAACCGCGACGGTATTGAGGACTAAGTTGAAGTCGGCCTAAGATCCAGCTCCAGCTAGCAAACTCATGACTGCATTTTCGGCGAGAAAGAAACTCTCATCTTATTGCCTTATCATGTCTTGAAGATGAACGTTGGTATTGAACCAGATTTTCATCTTTTCAGCTTCTAGGTAGGAGCAGTCGAATTTTTCCCACCATTTGATGCGTAAAGCTTTGCTCAACGCTTTGAAATTGCCACTGGGTCCTAGCTGGAAATTCTAGCAAAATATCCATGGAACTTGAAAATACAAAGTGAATCTAAATGTCTTAAAAGGGGGGAAACGAGTAGATATTTTGTTGGAAGAGATGGTACGAACGTTGAACTTCGACCGGGAAAATTTCCTCGGAGAGACCAAAGTACGTTTACCAGCTTTGAAACCAATTTAGAAAGTGCGATTTGTAAGATTGCTTACAAAAAGTCACAAACCAGGAATGGTTGTAACCTTGGAGCAAGAAGACAACATACCACGCCTTCATGTATTCGCGATAGTTGTAAGCTTGTGGCTTAAAGGGCTTTATAAATTTCTATCCTACAAACATACCTTGTTTCCAGGACGAAGGGGTAAGAACATAGAAGATTCTGAATATTAAATAAAAGGTCTTGGAGGGATCATTTTTATCTGGAATATGAGTTATTTCTGCTAATTTGGAATCAACCAGAATAAACTCATAAAAAGTCGAGTCTTTTGAAGATCCTCTGGCAAGAAGTTGAAGCCATGAGGAAATATTTGTTTACAGACTTCTTGGACCGAAGGTCCGTCGAACTCTGGTTCGATAGTTGAATCCACCATGGTAGTTTTGGTGAAATAAGCATTGATTGGAGGTCTTGGCTGAAAAACTTTCGGCCTGACAATTTGAGAAAACGAAGAAGGATTCTTTGGAATCGTAGATTTTGAAGAAGCGACTGCTAAAGCAGGACGTCTGCTCTTCGTTGTAGTGTTGAAAGGGCATAACAACGTGCTTGAAGGAATTGGAAGGCTTGAAGGGCCTGATTGAATGGACAAGGTCATCTGGGAAGAACCTTGTTGACGTATGAATACCGTCTCAAACTGGATATCCATGGCGTAATTTTCTGCACTCATCGGAGATGGTATAAATGATTGAGAAATGGGACTTTTGCCCTTTGAGGTAGTAGTTCTGGAAGAGGATGCGCTACTGCTTGAGAAGAAATGGGTTGATTCTCATTTCTTTGTTGGTTGTTTTGCGGTGGGGCCGCTGTGAGTTTGGCCATCTCCGGCCAAGGGGAGGTTCCATCAAGAGAGAGGGAAGAGGTGCTCAAGGCTGATTTTTGTGTTTTCAAGAGATGTTCTCTTGAGAGGGAGTTTTCACTTCCTTTTATAGGCACAATTTGAAAGTCGAAGTAAGACAGTATTGCCTACCATCTTGCAAAGATTTGCTTTGAGACCAGATGCTTTACATCTTTTTCAAAGATGAATTTGCTTGCCTTTGTATCTGTCCGGATCGTGAAATCTTTGTTGATAAGATCTGTTTGGAATTTTTGTACACAAAGTACTATTGCTAGTACTTCATTCTTTACTGTGGAATAGTTTTCTGGGCACTATTCCAAACGCCTGAATGGTAACGGATAATCATGATTTTTCCGTTACCTTTGGGCACTACTCCAAAGGCACTTGGCGTATCTCCAAAAGGTTACACCATGCTGATGGAAGTCAATGTTGACAAATCTTCAATGACTATTCCAAAGACGCTTCGATGGGATGAAATTTTTAGAAATCCTATCTAGAGACTACAAGGAGTGACTGCCCCCGCTAAAAGAACTAACACAGAGGCGTCAATCACTGAATTTCTAGATGGAAATGTTGAAATACAATTTAATTCTGAGGCAAGATACCCCAGAATTAAGGAGGTCATGAGTAACCGCCCAAGCATATCTTCGGACACAAGGTCGGTTAACTCTATCAACACATCTTTCAAAAGATCTGAATCAATGCGAACGTCTGTGGACTTCACCCATCCTATCCCTGACGTTCATTATGAAGAAGGATCACTCTCTCCTACCCAGTCTGACATCGAAAGAAGAATTGAACCAACTTTCAACCAAATAAATGTTATTTCAAAGATTGAAAAATGTTATGAAGATTTGTACGATAAATACATCGATATGTGAATTGTCGCACCAAAAGAGACGAGGAAACCTATCATGTGTACAGGAGACTGTTGCGCCTCTGCTTAATAGCTAGAGGGTAAGTGCAAGTGCACACTGTCACAAGTAATAATCTGGAAATATTCCAAGTTCGTCTCCACAGGGACTAGTTTTTCTTTTGAAACTGAATTTGAAAACTGTTAGAATGACCAATCAGGTTTGTGCAAAAATTGGTGAGATTGGTCGAAAATGAAAAACACACGGAAATTATAGAATTTAAAAGGCAAACCCCCTACTTCTGTTTAGTTTTAAAATGATGAATTACACCTACCAAATGTGCCCGTAATTACGCTCAATTTATGCAAACTGGTTCAACTCCTATTCCATACCGCTTTTGGTTTGTTTAGAAGTTTAGGCTAGTGTTTACATATGTCTATGTAACTCTAGAATCCTAAATAATTTAAATGCCAACTTACGTTTAACGGGTAAGAGAGCCTATGTCTAGGATCTTGTTTTAGTTCTAATTTCTAAGTAACTTCCCGTTTTATCTTGATGAACTCCGTTGACTCTAACCTTTTCAGAATTAAACTCCATTGTTGTGATTTAAACAAGTGGCCAGCAAGTAAAATCAACTAGATTAATTAACTCAATCAAGATAAGCAATTTGAGCGTAAACGCCGTGCTATCTG